ACCCCTCACTTCCACACCTGCTGTCAGAGAAGCGTGGCTCCGTCTCGGGCCTCTGATGCCTGGAGCAAGAAGCGGGAGTGGGTGACCAAGAATGTGGACCAAGAGCTGCAGAGCTGCTGCCCTAGCAGTGGCTGCCCATGCAGGACCCATCTCCGGGCAAGCTGCAATTCTCTGGGCCTCGCTGTACACTGAGGTGCCTGGACAGGACATACTGCTGTCCCAGGACTGCAGGGCATATGGAAAGGGGTGGCAGTGTCTCTGGAGAGGACAAGCCCTGGTTTCTGACAGGGCAATTGGCCTACTCAGAAGTGCCCATGAGCCTCCTGAGAGGAAGCTGTGACCAGTATTGATTGCTCCCTGACGCTTTCGGCCTTGGGCCAAAAGAGTCCCCCAGGACCATGGTCGGCAAACTGCGGCTCGCGAGCCACATGAAGCTCTTTGGCCCCTTGAGTGTGGCTCTTCCTAAGCCTTAGGAGTACCCTAATTAAGTTAATAACAATGTACCTACCTATATAGTTTAAGTTTAAAAAATTTGGCTCTCAAAAGAAATTTCAATTGTTGTACTGTTGATATTTGGCTCTGTTGACTAATGAGTTTGCCGACCACTGCCCCAGGATCCCACTCAGGCAGAGCAAAGTGAGGGGAGAGATGGGAAAGTGGGAGGGGTTACTGGGCAATCAGGGAAGTTAAAAAATTGTGACATGCTTCCCAAGCCCTGGACCCTAGCTGACACTTCCTGGAACCACAGGCACTGACAGCTCAGTGCAGCCATGGAACTTCTATCTGCCGCCTGGTGGGGCTGGGGTATAGGGGATTTCCACTGGAATCTCCATCACTTCCCCTTCAGGGTGACACCTCCTGGCCCCCAAATGCCCATACCTTCACAGGCCTGCTGTCCTTCTGGCCTGGGTCCTGGCCTGGAAGGATCTGGGTCCCTCCCCTGATCTCCCATAGCCCGGAGGGGGTGATGATGGAAAGGTGGCTGGCATGCCTCATCTCCTCTTGGGTGGGCAGTGAGGGTAGCAGGAAAGGTCCAGGTTGATCTGGCCCTGTCAGGGGCTCTGGAGGAGCCAGAAGGTATAGCCTTATGATAGTCCCTCTGGGGAGCTGAACTATCCCTTCCTCTAGTCTTTCCACACTGATTTAGGAAGTCCAGGCCTGGCTTGCCCACCCTGGCACTAATTCCTTAGATCTCCACTCCTGTCTCTAACCCACTGTTATCAGAGAGCCACTTCACACTGGACATGTATTCTCTGCTATTTAGCCCTTGCCTGCATTTCTCAGGGCCCGTAAAGGTGAGGGTGCATGTTAGGGGTCTCTTCAGCCTTCTCTCCCTCCCCAGACCCACTCTGAACAGGGTGTATAATTAAAGCTTCACAAATAACTTTGAGCTAAAATCAGGGCATTTGGATTCTGCCTGGGCAGGACCCTGAATTCTCTGGGCCAGAAGTGAGGCCTCCAATGGAAAAAAAGTACACCCAGCATCCCTGTGTAACCCATTCTGCCTGCTTCTCTGGAGGCTCCCACCCCCAGAATGAAATGTGGCAAGTGGCAGATGTTCTAGCTGATCTGCGGGGAGACGGGAAAGCTGAAAACCTTCTCTCCCTTGCCCACCAGGATTCCAGTTTCCCTGAGCCCCCAGGTCCTTACCTCTGAGTGTCAGAGATACACCACCAGGCCCAGGCCCAGCCGCCAAACACATACTGTTTATAGTCCGAACCACAACAGCCCCCTGGAGAACAAAGCAAAACATTGCTGTCAATCAGCTCTTGGGTTTGTCTATCCCCAATCCCTCCAACAGCAACCCTGGGCCTTTACCTGCTCAGACACTTAAATCGCATTTTGAGTGCCAGGTGCTGAGGTTACATACAAACGGGAGACATGCCCTTAAGGGTCTTGGAATCTAGTTAGGTAGATAGGCAGTTTGCATAGAAAGGAGGCTATCCAATGAGTAGATCAAAACATATGTGCATTCAGAGAATAGGAGAGGTCCATGGGCAGGAGTGAGCAGCAAAAGCTTCAATCTTTCAGTCAGCCATTAATTTAGCAAAGAAGTAGAGTATTTTCTCTGCTAGGAATACAGAAATGAAGGTGGTAAGTCCTGTCTTGAAGGAGATAAGACCAGGAGGAGGGACCTACTTTTTTTTTTTTGGAGACGATTGTAATGCCAAGCAATTCACCTATTCCCACCCAGACAGGGAGGGAATGCAGCCCCCCACCCCTCACACACAGGGAGATTGCTGGGAGGGAGGGAGACTCGAGCTAAGGTGGGAGCCTTGCTCAAGCCTGGCAGACACATCTCGGTGAGGCTGTCCTATATTCGCAGGGGTTCAGAGTGACTTTGTTCCTCTTGTGGGAGCAGATAGAGAAGGCAAGACCTCAACACAAAGGCCAACTCATGGTACCAATGGGAAGAGTGAAGATAAAGGGAAAAGGTCTACAAAGAAAGTTCTCCTGGGAACTATGTATCAACCAAACAGGATGTGGATCTGGCCGGGACCCAGATTCATGCTGTGGACATGTTCCGCATGCTCACTGTACAGAAAATGAGAAAAATCAATTCCCGAAATTCTTGTTGTGAACGCGCCAGCAAATGCCAAAACTACTCAAGTTCAAGAAAACCTGCGTAAAAGCTGGAGGGGCAGTTCACTTGTAGTGAAAAGAAATGTACAGGAAACATGTGATTGTTTATTAGGAAATGTGATTGTTTATTAAAAACACAAAACAAAGGCAGTATGACTTGGGGGAAAAAGTCAGTGGATGCCATCATTTCCATGTTCACAAACTGGGGTTTTAAGGAAAGCCTTAGGGTAGTTGCCTCTCAAGGTCAAGGGTCAGGGATAGTTTCCTGTAGCTGAGTAAGTGTCTACGAGGACCCATAGCAAGGGGCAAGCTGGTGATGGGGGAGTGCAGATCACAGTGTCTCAGGTATCAGACCAAGGAGCTGTGTGTGTGTGTGTGTGTGAGAGAGAGAGAGAGAGAGAGAGAGCGCGAGCGAGATGAGGGACCACACAGAGATTTAAACTGGGGAGCAACAAGCCCTGGCCAGGTAGCTCATTTGGTTACAGCGTAGTCCCTATATGCCAAGGTTGCGGGTTCAATGCCCAGTCAGGGCCCATAAAAGAATCAACCAATGAATGCATAAAAAAGTGGAACAACAAATTGCTGTTTCCCTCTCTTTCTCCCCTCCCTCTCTCTCTCAAAAATCAATAAATTAAAAAACACACCCTATTTTTAATTTTATAAATATAAAATTATATTTACACTTTAGAAACACTACTTTGCACAAGGAGGAAGATGCTGGGGTCAGGGAGATTGGGCCGCAGCCTCTTGCAGTGGCTGGCGATGAGGGGTAAGTTCCAGAGAACTTCCTGTGTAAGTGGAAGTGTTCTGTGGCTGCACTGTGCACAACGGCAGCCCCTCGCCACAGGTGGCTACTGAGCATTTGAAATGTGGCTGCTCCGACTGAGGGAATGAATTTTAATTTAATTAATTAAATTGAAGTAGCCACTTGTGGCTACTGAATACCATATCGGTGTAGCTCTACAGTCCAGGTTTGGGTGAGCGGTGAAGCAACCAAAACAGACACAACGGAGAGAAGCTCCACCTGGAGAGACGTTTTGGACGAGTGGAGGTGAAGGAACAAAGCCTCCGGGAGGGCAGAGGGCCTGCAGGTTCATGAACTGGCATCGGAGACTGCTCACAAAACGGCCAGCTCAGTTTCCTAGGGTTGCTGCTGGGCACAGTGGGCAAGTAGCTGGGCCGGAGGTCCAGGGAGCGAAGATCAGCCCACATGTGAGCAGTGGTAGGAAGAGGAGGTCTTAGGCCTCTGTTTCTTTGTGGTGAAAATACCTGTTCACCGGGCTGCTGTTCATTAGAAGCTATTGCAGGCTTCCCTGCCCTGGGGAGTGGGGTATGGGAGGCCTCTAAGGACAAGCAGTCAATCTGAAACCTAAACCAGCTCAGGATCCAGTGAGATTGGAAGAAGGTCAAAAATCACAGCTTGTTTCACTTCTTCTTGGCCTGGTGGGGGGTGGGGCCTGGCTGCCTCCAGCCAGCTCCAGGGCACCTTCTCCATGTGCTGGGGGAGGAGGCAGTCGTGGTGGGGTGGGCTAGGGGTGACGGTTAGGGGGATGTCCACCCTTTACCTTTAACTCAGTCTTTGACCTTGGGAGCAGGCGGCCACACACAGCTCAAGCTGGGCCTTGGCCAGGAGCCACATGGCCAGGTTCCCAGGGGTAGCAACAACAGGAAGCTGGGGTTGCCAGACTACCCCGTCCCCAGCAGCCTCCTCTTCTGGAAGGCATCTTCGGCCCAGCTTCCCGGTCACACGGAGCCTGAGCACCATTCCCAGAAGAGAACACGTAGGCGTCCCTTCCTTGCCTGTCCTAATTCCCACTGTCTTGAGACCTGAAAGTTCTCCCTAATTTTATCTCACTTTTTCTAAGCCAACTTGCTTTTCTTTGTCTATCCTTCACAGAGCTGAAGAATAACAAAACACGCCTAGATAACCTCCGCCCCACTCTTAGCCCCTCCCCAGACACATTCTGCCCTCCCAGGAAAACTCACTTCCCTTCTATCCTTCCCTCTCCCACTTCCTTCTTCCTATTAGTCCAGAAAAACCATCCTCTACAAGAGGGATTTAGCCTTTTTTTGAGCCACAAACATCCTTAGGAGTCCAGCAATGCTGGACTGTTCATAAAGGCAGAAAATGAAATTCATAAGAAACAAATCATATTAAAAGTTATAAAAATATTAAAGCTACCAAGTATGTGGTGCAGTGGGACATGTAATACACAGTAATATGTGTGATAGTGTAATACATTAAATAAGGTCTATGGTAGATCTAATAATTGGCTTATTTTCAAAGTAGTGATGAACATGATTTAAAAAATATTTTTACTGATATCAGAGAGAAAGGGAGAGATAGAAACATCAGTGATGAAAAAAAAGAAAAAGAAAAAGAGAAACATCAATGATGAGAGAATCATTGATCGGCTGCCTCCTGCATGCCCCACCCTGGGGATCCAGCCCAGAAATCTGGGTATGTGCCCTGACCTGAAACCAAACCGCAACCTCCTGGTTCAAAGGTCGACACTCAACCTCTGAGCCATGCCAGCTGGGCCATAAATGATTTTTAAGGTATTACAACACATGCAGTATAGTAGGAAAATATCTGCTAATACCATTACGGGCTGTCACCGGCCTTCATAATCATAGGAGTCACTAGATGTAAGTGCACTTTTCTCCCCATCCAAACGTACAGACCTCTACATTCATCCACAATCCCAGGTTAAGACACTCTGACCTATTATGGAGATGAGAGAATTATGTACGGTATTTGGATTCCCCTTTTAAAAATCCCAAGATAGAAAAAGAGCAAAAGGTTTTATATTATAGAATGGAGGAGGAAGGTTAGACAACCAGAAGAACCTCCAGACTTCTCAGGTGAAGAAGATGACCATGAGCTATAGCAGCATCCTTCTTCTGAAACTGGGCTTAGTGAGATGCCTGGACTTAGATACAGGCCAAGTAAGCAGGTGGGGCGGGCTGGGAGTAGTTACTCTGTTCTCCTGGGAGTCCATGTGCAAGAGAGAGCTGCATCTCAGTTTGGTCACTTCAAACCCCAAGGTACTATTATGCTAGGCATCATCTTTCCCTCTTCTCTCGCACCCTTCCTTGACTCCAGCACCCTCAATTCTCAGCACAGCCTCCTCTCCCCACCCCTAAAACAGCTTCCAAAGGAGCACTGCACCCGCCTCTGGCAAGAGGACCTCATTTCTGACAACTGGAAGGTACTAAGCAGCCTATCTCAGGGGCTCCTCTCACCCCTCTCCGAAGATCAGAGCTTTTGTCTCCTGAGCTCAGAGACCAGGCTTCCAGAAAGCAACTCACAAGAGAAACAAAGTAGCTCACCTTGTTAAAGGATTGTCCCAGTAAGCCAAGGTTGTGGGTTCAGTTCCCAGTCAGGGTGCATACAAGAATCAACCAGTGTGTGCATAAATGGGTGGAACAACAAGTTGATATTTTTCTCTCTTAAAAAAAAAAAAAGTCCGGCTCGTGTGGATCAGTGGTTGGGCATCGATCCATGAACTAAGAGGCCACTAGTCTGACTCCCGGTCAGGGCACATACTCACGTTGTAGCTCGATCTCCAGTAGGGGGCGTGTAGGAGGCAAATGATCTATGAAGTTTCTGTTTCTCTCTCATTGATGTTTCTCTCTATCCCTCTCCTTTCCTCTCTAAAAACCAATAAAAACATATTTAAAAAGAAAAAAGAAAAACATAATGCAGATTCGGGTTCTAAAAGCCTTCTTTACGAGTGGGGGCTGGGAGACTGGTCCAGGTCTTACAGAAGCAGGTGCAAATTTGGCCCTCAGTTGCCCTAGCTGTTTTGGCTCAGTGGATAGAGTGTCGGCCTGCAGACCAAAAGGTCCTGGGTTCAATTCCGGTCAAGGGCACATGCCAGGGGTTGAGGGCTCATCCCCAGTAGAGCGTGCAGGTGCCAGCCCATCAGTGATTCCCTCTCATCATTGATGTTTCCATCTCTCTCTCCCTCTCCCTTCCTCTCTGAAATCAAAATATTTGGCCTCAGTGTTCTCTGGGGATCTCCCTCCTAATAAAAGAGTCTCCTATAGGCTATCTCTATAGGCAAGTGAATATCTTATCTCCTCCACAGGAATAAGAGCCTGATCAGGGAGAGTGGGGATTTCCTATCCCAGTGAAGAGATTGATTTTGAGATCCAGACTGTGCCAGAAGTCATGTAGCCATGTTCTGGGGTAAAAGTTTTCAATGGATTTATCAATCTTTCCCAAAGGTGGGCAGCTACAAGACCTGGCTTAGCCTACCCGCTGCTACCTCCTTCTGTCGACAGCTGTAAAACTCTGCGCACAGGCTTAAAATCGGCATTGAGAGGGGGCAAGTAAGACATGAGGCCTCCAAGCTTTTAGGAACCACGGACCCTCCCTGGCACCTGCGATCCAGGGCTGCTGCACAAGCTGGTGCCTTGAAAGGCTTCAGCCGCCTTCCAAGAAACCCAAATATACCATTTAAAAGGCAGCCTTAAGACAAGATAGTCTTGTCTCCCCTCCCCTAGTACTGCAGAGTCGCCAAGCCCCACCTAAGCGCACAGAAATTCCGGCGCCTGCAGCATTTTGCAACAGGGACAGCACAAACCAGAACCCGGTTTCTCAACCTGTAGAGGCCGCACCCAGCTCGGTGCCAGGAAACCCCAGCGAGCCCCAGCCTGCTGGGGATTAACGGGTCTCCGAGCGCCCGGAGGAACGGTGTGTCCCAGGGCCGCTCCCCACGTAGGCACCTGCTCTCCGGAGCTGCGCGACCCACCCCAGGTCCGGGGCGCTGTTCCTCTCCCTCCCGGAACCCCACAGCTTCAGTTCGGGATCCCCCCCCATTCCCCCGCCAAGGCCACGGAGGGAGGACGTGCCCAGAGGGAAGGCGGAGAAAGGAGGAAATAAACATGGGGACAACACGCTGCGGGGGAGGAGCCCTGGGGGGCGCCGAGCCCCGCAGACGAGAGCGTGGGGGATTCTCCGGGAAGGTCTCGGGTGCCGCCCGGGGCGCAGGGGACTCAGGCCCGATTCTCGGGGTCCCGACCTCGTCCCCCCGCGGGGGCCCTCCACCCTCGGGGGCCTTCCCAGGCCGACTCTTCCCCGTCGCTCTCCAGCCCGAGACCCCTCCTCACCCACCTTTCCAGGCACACCGCCCCCCGGCCCCCAACAGCGTCCGGACCGGGCGCCCCGGCCCCCCCTCTCGCTGCCCCCTCACCTGAAACCACCAGCGCCTCGTTGGGCCCCACCGTGTGGCAATTGCCCATGGCGCCGCCGGCACGGAAGGCCACCGGGGGCCGCGGAGACCGGGACGGACAGCAGCAGGCAGCCGCCCGCACTCGCTCCCGCCGCACCGCGGGCCGCGCCCAGCCAATCGCGCCGCCCCCCGCCCGCCCGCCCGCCAGCGCCCCTCCGCGGCCGCGGCCCCGCCGGAAGTGGGGCGGCGGGGGGCGGGGCCGGCTCGGCGAGAGAGGCCGGGAGGCGCTCAGCCTGGGTGGGCAACGCGCTTTATTGCACGTGGGGTGGGATGGCGGGGCCCAGCCCGAAAGCACCCGGATCGTCCCTCTGCTCCCACGGGGCGCCCCGATAACAGCCGCCCTGCCCCGCTCTGCCCCGCCTCGCCAGCATCCACCTTACAGCAGCTGGCCCTGCAGCCGGACCCGGGTTCAAATCTCATCCCTACTCTTCCTAGCGGTGAGACCTTGGGCGAGTCCTCTTACCTCTGCTGCCTACCCTTGTTTCTGTAAAACGGGGATAATTTGACTAGCTACGTGGTTGCCACCAGTTCAGTAATTCCCAATATTGGCAGTACATCAAGTGACAGATTCCCTGGCCTGCATCCAGGGCTGCTCAGCATCACTGAGGGTGGGACCTCACAAAGAAGACAAATTCCTGAGAAGCAGTGTCTGGCACACTACACGCAACACACAGCTTCTCAAACTAGGCTTACTGTCACTCTCAGGAAGAAACAACCACCTATATTTCCTTCCACTAGGAAAAGAGCTGTCCAGGTCATACCTTGAAGCCCCCAGAAAGTAACCATGGAGGTAAAAACTGCAAACTCCTCCATGGCATGGCCAGGCCAGGGACCGGCACACACTAAGGTTTTCCAGGGCCACCAAGTGCCATAGCAAGCATCCCAGCCGGGGGGTTAAGAGGCTTGGGGCTCAGGTTCAGCTTTAACCCAAATTCGGTGTGTGACCTTAGACAAGTCTGGTGGGCTCTGAGGGCTGGGATAGGGTTCAGAAACGGTGGGCTCCTCAGGGTGGGGGCTGCTCAGAGAAGATGGGGTCCCTGAGTCCTCAGGGTGGGGGTCTTCATCCGATTCAGCATCCTCTCCCAGTCCAAGCCCTGCCAGCTTTTTGCTGGCCACCCACAGCCGGTGAGCTGCCCGGTCGTCTCTGGCAGCTGGAGGCACCTCCTCCACGTGGCAGTTGGCGAAGTATCTTCCACTGAGGGGCTCAATGCCCTCCTGTAGAGCGCAGTACAGGGGCGTCTGGGCACCCCCTCCTGGTGTCCGGAGCACCAGCCAAGCCAGTGGGTGCAAAAGTGGGCGCAGCCATCCAGGAACATGACGCAGGAACAGATCTGAGTTCACAGGCCCTGTGAACAGGAGAAAGGAAGGAGTGGGGCGTACCATGGGTGAGGGCCCAGGGTCTGAGCTGTGAGAAAAGGGCTAGAAGGGAGTGGGCACAGACTCCAGTTCCAGGGAAACCAGGGTAGTATTTACTGGGCACTCAGGGCCCTTACTAGGTGACCTCACTCATTTCCATCCTAACTTCTTGTACATCCCCATCTCCCAGAGTTAGCTCATGCTATGCCCCCTGTGAGGTACAGTTCTGTCTCCATCTTCCTCTGTTTAACCAGCAAACATTTATTATTAACAGCGATGGTAGACCAGCCACACTTTGGGGCACTAGAGATATGGAGTGTAATAAAGGCTTGCTAAAGATTAGTTGTGATTATTACTTTCACTGTTATAATTACTAGTTGTGATTATTATTGTCACGCTTGTAATTACTAATTAGCCACGGGCCATGACTATCTAGAATGCAGTATGGTAATACGGGTAGGGCAGATTTTGTTATCCAGTAACCTGCTCCCTAAAGGCAGGGGTAGGTCGTATTCACCAGTTAACTCATTCAGAGTAAAAGCCAAAACGCTTACAGGGGACCTGCAGACCCTGGATGGCCCAGCCCATCTCTGTACCACATCGCTTGCCACTTTCCCCTTCTCACTCTGCTCTAGCCACACCAGGCTCCCTGGTCTTTCTCAAGCACATCAGGCACTTCTGCCTCAGGGCCACTGTACTTGCTGTTTGCTCTGTTCTTTACCCTCTTCTCCCCAGAAAGCCACACGGCTCATTCTCTCATCTCCTTTGGGCCTCTATTCAAATGTTACCTTTTCGGGTATGTCTTTCTTGACTGCCATAGATAAAATAGCACCCCGGCATTTTCTAGTCCCCTTAACCTGTTTTATCTTTCTCCATCGCACTTGATCACTATCTGCCACTGTATATATTTATTAGTGGTTTCTCCTTCCCCTAAACTCTACAATGATAGAGTTTACTTTGTTTGGTTCACTGCTATAGCCCCAGCACTGAGATTAATGCCTGGCACATAGTAGGTACTCAGTTACTGCTTCCTGAAAGAATAATCATTTGCTATTATCATCATATTATAGTCAGTTCAGTCATAGAGATGGCTCCTTGGGGTGAGAACCTGGGCCTTATTCATGGCCATACCCTATCCCAGTGATGGCGAGCCTATGACACGCGTGTCAGAGGTGACACGCGAACTCATTTTTTTGGTTGATTTTTCTTTGTTAAGCGGCATTTAAATATATAAACTAAATATCAAAAAGATAAATCTTTGTTTTACTATGGTTGCAAATATCAAAAAATTTCTATATGTGACACGGCACCAGAGTTAAGTTAGGGTTTTTCAAAATGCTGACACGCCGAGCTCAAAAGGTTCGCCATCACTGCCCTGTCCAGTAGTCAGCATCCAACCTTGTGGTAGGAGAGCAAGAACCCAGACAAAAAAAGCCTGGTTTCAAGATTAGCAAAGAACAGGTCTCTCCTTGGAACATGCTTCCTTCCTGCTCTGAGATCCTGTAGCTCAATGAGAGGCTGGGGGAGCAAGGATGGGGCAGGGATGGGGAGAGGGAATCAAAGTAAAACAGCCAAAGAGCCAGGCCTCACCTGGGTGAGCTGCATAGCAGGTGACGCCAGTGCCCTCAAGCTGTGTGGCGAGCTCCCTGGCAAACAATACATTGGCCAGCTTACTGTCGGCATATGCTCGCAGCTCCTGCTGCCAGCCCACCACCGGGCGGTCCAGGCGTGTGAAGTCAAGGCGCCCTCGCCGGTGGGCAGCTGAGGCTACCACCACCACGCGGCTAGGGGCGCATGTCTTCAGCCGGGGCAGCAGCAGGTGTGTCAGCAGGAAGGGGCCGATGTGGTTTACTCGCAGCAGCAGGTTAAAGGGCTCACGGGTTTGTCCGCAGGAACTGATCCCTGGGGCAGGGACTAGGCGTGAGCAATGGCTCTGGAGTGATCCCCATAGGCCTCGGTGGCCCCATCTGTGAGACGGTGGCAGGGGACATCCTTCCCACATATCCACTGACCCCCAGCAATGCCTGGCTGGGAAGGGATGGCTGCCCCTCCAACAACCCCCCTTCAGCCCTCCCCGCCGCCCGCCCCCCACCCCCCTAGGGCCTGCTGCCTCTCACCAGCATTGTGGATGAGGATGTCCAGCCGTGGCTCAGACCTCAGGAAGGCAGTAGCAAAGGCCCGTACTGAGGCCAGACTGGCCAAGTCCAAGGCCATGAAGATGACTTCATTGTTCCCGCTCTCCTGTGGAGCAGCAAGGGCTGGGCTTGTGACCAGACGCCTCTCTCCTCTCCCCTATCCCCAGACACCAAATTCTGAGAGTCAACCTCCTACTATTATTAAGATCTACCCCTATGCATTAGAGTGATATGAATGAGTGTAGACTCTGGATGTAATTTTTTTTTAATCCTCACCCAAGAGGTGAGAATATTTTTTTCCATTGATTTTTAGAGAGAGTGGAAGGGAGGGGTGAGGGAGAGAGAGAGAAACCTTGATGCAAGAGAGACACATCGATTCACTGCCTCCTGCTCGCCCCCACCAGGATTGAACCTGCAACGGAGGCACATACCCTTGACAGGGAATTGAAACCACGGGCCGACGATCTAACCACTGAGCAACTGGCCAGGGCAGGATGTAAATCTTGACTATGCTTTTTACTAAAGGATGACCTTGGGCAAGATAATCTCTCTGTGTCTCAGTTCTCTCACTGTGAAATGGGAAGGATAATAGTGCCTATATCATAGAGTTGTGAGGATTAAATGAGTTAATATGTGTAAAATACTTGGAATAGTCCCTGGCACACAGCACTATGTAGGTACTTGCTATTACTGTATTATTATTATTGTCCCCTCTACCCTACCCTAAGATCTACACTAGACTTCTTATTGGTCACCTTTCAAACCTCTTGCCCCCTCCAGTCTAGGCATCACACTGCCACCAAAGGTTGGTTCCAAAAGGCTGCCAGTCCAGTGCCTGCTGAGGGCCCTTCGTTGGATCTCTACTGCCCACCCTATAAAATCTGAGCCCCCCTTTAAGGTCTATAAGAGCCTCCTACACCTGGCCCTGACCCCTTCATTTTGCTTCTTTCTTCCGTACTTCCCCGTGCTCCAGCCTCATCCCCCGCCCTCGCCCGGTTTCTTAAATTAGACCCGTTTTCTTGCCTCAGGGCCTTTGCATATGCTGTTCCCTTCCCTACTGTTTTTCATTAATGTAACTTCTACTAGTCCTTAAACGTCTTCAAGCAGCAATTACTTCTGCAAGTCCACTCCCCAGCTTGGGTCTGTGCCCCTTCCTTCCCTGTGGGACTAGGCACCTGTGCACTCCCTCTTCTTCGGCACTTAAAGAACTGAGTTGACCTCTCCCCTCTGGACTGGATCCCCCGGGGCCACTCTGCTCAGCCCATGGTCTCCCGAAGTCTCGGTCCTCTGTGCGCCGTCCCACCCACCCCGGCCTTCCCTCACCTGGCGGAGGTCAAAGGCTGCCGCCTCGCCGCGCTCCCGGCTCCGGCAGGCCAGCACCACACGAGCTCCTCGGCGCGCCAGCTCCAGGGCCGTCATCTTCCCGATGCCGCTGTTGGCGCCTGCGGAGGGCGGGCGGGAGCCCAGCTGAGCCGGGCGGGCATCGCCCCCTGCCGCCCCGGCCCCTCGCCACCCGCCGGCCCGCACTCACCCGTTACCACTGCGGTGCGGCCCCGCAGGCTCACGATGCCTCCGCACGGCGGGGCCTTCACCAGGTTGTAGTAGACGAGCACGTAGGCGCCCAGCAGCAATCCCGCGCCCAGCAGCAGCGCCTCCATGCCGGCCGCGCCTTCGGGCTCCCGCCCAGGCCCGTGCCGCCCTGGATCGCCGCCTGGCAGCTGCCGATCGAGCCCGCACTGGCTTGGAAGGGCGCCGCGAGGATCTCCGGAAGGCGGAGGTGGAGGGGAAGACTGGCGGCTGCAGGCAGTGCAGGGGTGTGTGCGTGCGTGGGCCCTGCGAGCGCCCCCTAGGCACGCGTCTGTGTCCTCCTATGTGTGTGTGTATGAACACCACGGTGCGTGTGTACATTTGGGCCCTGGGAGCGCCCTCTAGGTGTGCCCGCGTGAACTCGTTCTAGATGCGTGTGTGTGCACCGGCACGCTGAGGGTGCCCTCTAGGTCTGCACATGCACCCACATACCGTGTGTGAGTGATTTTTTGGGTATATAATGTACCCATGGGCTCTGGGATCACCCTTCAGGTTTCCCCCCCACTTCCATTTATTTATTTACTTACTTACTTACTTATGTTAATTTTTCTCTTTTATTTATTTTTCCATTGACTTTTTTAGAGAGTGGAAGGGAGGGGAGAGACAGAGAGAAACATAGATGTGACAGAGAAACATCAATTGGTTGCCTCCCCCAAACACCCCCACCAGGGACAGGGATGGAGCCTGCAACCAAGGAATGTGTCCTTGTCTGGAATCCAACCCAGGACTCTTCAGTCCGTGGGCCTACACTCTATTCACTGAGCCTAGCCTGCTAGGGCCGCCCTCCTTTTAGAAGGAGAGGGAGGGAGAAAAACAACGATTTGTTGTCCCACTCATTCATGTACTCATTGGTTGACTCCCCTCTGACCAATGATGGAGCCATATCCTTGGCATATGGGTACCACGTTCTAACCAACTGAGCTACCCAGCCAGGGCCGGATCCTTTGTGTGTGCATCTTTCATGTGTTTGTGTCCATGTTGCTGAGAGCCCCTCCAGGCATGTGCATGCATCTGTAGTCTCTGAGTGTGTGTGTGTTTGAATGAATATCAAGTGTACCTGTCCTTTGTGTGGTGCCCTATAACTGAAGGCTTGTAGGAGGGCTAACAGGGTGTGTGTGTGAGCCCTCTGGGTGACTGTGTAACAGAGTCGTTCCCTCTGAAGCGGCTTTCGTACATGAATACTCTTGTATCTGAAAGCAAGTTCCATCCTGGATACCGTTTCCTCCATAAACAAGTCCTTCCATTCATATCCTCATAACCCGTCCTCAGCTCCTAGGATTCTTCCCATAGAAAGCAAGGAGGTGAGACAGTGCTCAGCATGGCACCATCAGTTAAGGGCCGTCAGGATTCACTTTCCTTAGCTGTCTATATCTTCCTGTCTCTGCTCCCCACCCCCTCCAATTCCGAAGGGAAGCAGGAAGAGAAAGAGTGTAATATTTATCTGACTTCCAGGAGGAAATTCTCCATGGAATGGTTCTCACAGGTGGTAGAAATGGGTAAAGAAACTCCATCACCCAATGGAAGAAGTGACTTTGATGGCAAGGTGGGTGGGAACAACCAGGGAGGCAAGGGTAAGGATATTCCTGGCCAGCCAGGTGACTTGCCCGAGAAAGGACCTTGCCTGAGAAATCCAGTACAATTTAGTATCCATTGTTTGGCACTTACGGTGTGCCAGCAGTATGGTTAGCCTTGGAAAGATGGAGTTGAACAAGGTATGTTTCTGCCCTTAGGGAGTTCAGGAGGCCCATTAGGGCAGGGGCAAAGCTTGACAGGTAGGTGGAAGCCTGGAATAGACCTCAGATTCCCCGGCAAGTTTCCTATTTAGCTGCACTGTGGATTCACGGTTCAATTGTAGTTGTGGGATGAGGCTGGGGATGGAATATTAAGGACACAGTGCCTTCTCCACCCCTGAAGCAAGATCCTGACAGGCCGACAGGCCACCTACTTGAACAGTGCTGGGACAGACACACAGGTGCTCTTCAGCTGAGTCAGACTGTCATTATTTTCATTTATTGACTTTTCTTTTTCATATATTTTGATTGATTTCAGAGAGGAAGGGAGAGACAGAGACATCAATGATGAGAATCATTAGTCGGCTGCCTCCTACATGCCCCATACTGGGGATCGAGCCCACAACACTGACTGGCATGTGCCCTGACCAGGAATTGAACTGTGATCTCCTGGTTCATAGATTGACACAACCCCTGAGCCACGCTGGCCAGGCTATTTATTGACTTTTTAGAGAGAGAGAGAGAGGAAGGTAGAGAAGAACTGATTTGTTGTCCCATTTATTTATGCATTCGTTGGTTGATTCTTATATGTGCCTTGACCTGGGATCAAACCTGCAACCTTGATGTATCAGGACGATGCTCTAACCAACTGAGCCATCTGGCCAGGGCTGGGAGACTGTCTTTAGGAAAAACTTCCCAGATAGTTTCTCATGTAAGGTCTTCAAAGAGGAAAGGGTGGAATTTGGTTTCATAAGAGGGCTCAGGGCCTTAGAATTAAGGTAATGCATAGACTTCGTCTTGAGGAATTGCTGCTGTGGAGTAGTGAATGCAGTCCTATAAACTGTGGCACATCCGGGGTTAGAGACTGGATTTCTCATTTTTCATGTTTCCCCAGAGACGTTTGAATCAACAAATTGCTCCACACTACATTCTAAGACACAGGGGCCACATCTGCCTTGTTGACTGCTCATAGCAAGTGAGCTAGACCAAGATTCAGGCACAGAGGGTCAAGTGGTACTTGAATTGCTCCATGTCCAGCTAAGGTGACAGGGAAAGGACAAAACCAGGTGTTATGACCTCCCAGAATAGATGAATAAAGTATGACAGCAAATAATTGGAACTAAAGGCAGTCTCTACTCTCTAGATTAAAGCTTCTAGACCAGAATGCAGAGGTCTCACTCATGCCAGCTTGTTTTAATGTCTTGGTTTTGGAGCCAATAAGAGCAGGGGCCTGAACATTCTTAGAATCTTGCAGAATCTGATCATGTCAAATAATCAAACCCTCTAAACTCTAAGTCACCCACAAAGTCATACAACAGCTCCCCTTAGCAGATGCACCCTTACCCTCCCATTTCCACTCCCCATGCACTGTAGGCTCACTTTCCTACAACACCTCCCCTCTCCTGATTTCCCTTGGGGAATGTGACTTGTTCAAGGAGACTGTGGGGCCAAGATCTCAGGGAGGGTCCCTTCCAAGGATGATGACAGGTAGGACAGACAGGCAGAAAACATAATTTGAAGTATTTTTGTTTTTTTATATACAGAATACAGGAAAGTTTCTGTAAAGTCTAAAACATTACAATTACTATGTACATTGGTACTAGTTGTGGGGTAGGAGAAGAGGAGGGAGTCAAGGGTGGGAGGAAGAGGAGAGAAGTGGCAAGAGAACAAAAAAAGGAGACAAAACAGGTTTACGACAAAAAACATTTTTGCTACAATAGACAATTTGAAGAAAACGCTCTACCACATGTAGTACTGTACACAGTTTTTAAAAACATTGAAAAAATGTCATCACTAGATGTATTTACACAAAATCCAAATACACTTTTCCTTATTCGAAATAAAATAGATGGACAGCCAGAAAAAGGATTCATTTCTCATTTGTCCATAATACACAGTAGCTACCTGTAGTGCAACCGCTGCAGAAAGGGAAAATAACTTGGAGGGTGGGAACCATGGAAGGAGGGTGGGTAGCGATTTTTATATTAAATAAAACAATGATATTGTATAGATTTTGCTGTATGAAAACTGTATTTTTTTCTTTTAATATAAAACTATTGTCACTGCCACAAAATAGAACAAGTTTCTGATTATTTTACAACGGCGGGCGAGGGGGAGGGAGCAGGTGGGTGGGGAACGGTTTTGTGTTGGAGGAAGTGTCCAGACCATTGGCCTTCCCCTCCCTGCCCACGCTGTTCCTCAGCTCGGGTCTGCCGCTTTGCCATGAAATGTTGAGTACAAATATATGTGCAAATGCCCCCTAGAACTTGAGAAAAGAAAAAGGATTTTAAAAAACAGTCAAAAGGTTTTCTTCATGTCATGCAAAGATTGTAGTTGAAGGGTTTCTGGTGGAGTATAGAAAAAACCCGGGCTTGGTTTGTGTACATTTTTGCATTGCAGGAGTCTTGGGGTGGGTGAGGCGGGTGATGGGGTAGCCACCAGTCCTAGGGAACGGAGTTGGAGCGCAACACAGGGCCCTGGTGGGGCTTGAGAGAGAGCTTCTCGGCCAAGACCCCATCTTGCAACAGACTGGCATCGCCTTTGGGCTGTTTGGTCGCAAACTCAGTGATGCTGAAGACAAACTGCAGACACCCCAGCTTGATGTAGCTGCCATGGTGCAGTAAGGCCGTGCCTTCCCAGCCGGCCCCACTGCCCCCAATCAAGCTCGAGCTGCTGGCTTTGCAGTTGCAGGGTCTCCGTTGTGGCCCCTGGGCTTGGGAACTCATCATGGGTGCCTCCTCACTTGGCTCTTCATCCTGTTTCTGGTGCCGGCGGCGCCCTGGGGAAAAAGGGGATGGTCACCAGAGAGGAACAGTGAGCAGTCCAACCATCTGGGCCGTTTGCCAGATGGATCCCTGTACCTCCCCATTTTAGATGCTGCATGACTGGGGTGAGGGATGCTCAGAAAGGACTGGTCAAGTCTGAAGTGCTGTACACATAAGTGGGTGCACAGCACTTGGTTCTCCGTGACCCTCCCTGGGCCCAGAAGTAAGCACTTGGCCAATGCAACCAGGAAGGCAAGAGACAGCATATCACTGGCAGCAAGCCTGAGCCCCCCTGACAGAGCCTTTGAAAATGTGTCCAAAAATGGCAGGCCTCATGGCCACAGGCCTCTGCTCCAACTTACTGATGACACTCTGCACTTTGGCAACAATACTGCTTGGGGGGGTTGGCGGGGTCTTCTCAGAGAAGTCACATGAATACAGCACATTGTCCACCGTTGTCCCGTGCTCACTGTAGTTTAACAGCTCATAATGTTTGGTATTCTGAGGAGGAGGAGGGAAGATAAGATGTGTGGTCTGCTGCGTGGGGCCTGGGGCTAAGGGGAGAGAGGACATATGGAGAAGGCTGTGCTGCTCTATCTGAGGAGCTCTCTTTCTTTCCCAATCGTGCCCTTCTTCCCTATACTTTTCCACTGGGGCTCAAAATTCACCTCCTGTGTGCTCTCCCTCCCAGGAGCAAGCTCCCGCCTTTCCCTTCCCTCTCTCCTCCCCCCACAGGCA